TTTGGGCAGAAGCATCGAAGAAAGAACCGATTGATTTTTTCACAATAAAATTTTTCGTATCGAAGAGGACCACAAAATTGTAAATCCATAAATGGTGCAGCCTGAACAAGGCTATAGCCTATAGGGAATGGGTTCTTCATGGCAAATTTTCTTTGTTTCTCTGCTGCTTACCCACCTCCTTACCCTCTCTGTAGCACAGGAAACTCCCCTGTACCACATTTGCTCAAATGACATAGGTAATTTCACCACTAACAGCACTTACCAGACAAACCTCGATCGTCTTCCTCCCTTCTTCACCTCTAACTCAAAAAACAATTATGGGTTCTATAATGTTTCTATTGGCCAAAATTCAGACAAAGTTAACTCAATCGCCCTCTGCAGAGGGGATGTTCAGCCTAATGTTTGCCTTAGCTGCATCAACAATGCCACCGTGGAGCTAAGAAACCGATGTCCCAACCAGAAGGAAGCAGTTTTATGGTATGACAATTGCATGTTCCGATACTCAAATCGTTCTATCTACGGCGAGGGAAGTGGTGCTGCCATTTATATGTGGAATCCGTACAACACCACGAATGCCAGTGCTTTCAATGACGCCCTTGGTACCCTGTTGGATAGCCCGAAGACGAGAGCAGCGTCAGGCGATTCTCGTCCCAAGTTTGCAACGGGGACATCCGCGGTTCTGCCATTCAAAACAATTTATGCACTTGCACAATGCACTCCTGACTTGTCCCAGCTGCAGTGCACCTCTTGTTTGGATGATTCTATTACACAAATTCCGATTTGTTGTAATGGAAAACGAGGAGGCAGAGTGGTTGGACGAAGCTGCAATTTAAGATTTAAGATCTATTTAGGGATGACAACGGGTTCCCACAGGGCGGAAACCCCCTCCCCATCCCCATCTTCACCAATGACAAGTATGGAGATCCCCACGGCGATTTTGATGGAAAATCAAAAATAACCTTCGTCTCCATACTTGTGGAGAATGATATGTTCCGTGAGTATTCGGAATCCCCACCAAATAAAACTCTCACATGCTCTACTTCTTTTTAATCAAAATTTTCGTCGCTTGCTAATCAAAATTAAGTTCAACATGAGTCTACTTAGACTTTATTAGTTTTCACATTTATCAAATAAAACTAACTCAAATAATCATAAAGTAAAAATTTGAAACAAGACAAACAAGCAATAAATATACAAAGAGGTCCAACAAGTTAGCAACAAATTCATAAAGAAAAAAAAGCATAAATTACCATGTAAGTCCAGAAAATCCAGCAAAAGATTCATGAAAAAAAAGGGACATAAATTGCAACTGTCACACAAGTTTAAATTCAGCAAATTTCATAGAAAAAAAATACATAAACTACTGCCATAAATGTCCAGCAATAAGCTCATCAAGAAAATGGGCATAAAAGAGTCTAGTAAGTGGCCGTACACATCCATCCAATTCAGGAAGGCAAACTCTGCAACAGCAACTTAAACTAAGCTTGACCAATAATTTTAAGTTGAGGAAATAAGTTCCTGAAACAAAAACAAGTACCCCAAGTTAATAAAATTTAAGAAAAAATTCTATATATGGTAATTTATATAAAGAAATACTACTGTTTAAAATTTACTCCAGACTCATCATCCCATCATCATTCTCCTCCAACTCCTCAAATATATTGAAAAAATTCCCAATCATTGTTAGAACTTAAATTTCAAACATAATAAAAGTTTAGAATACAAATTAAAAAAATAAGAAAATAAAAAAAATATAACCTTAATTTAATGCCTTTCAAATCTTTCTTTAACCAATCTTGAAGAAATAGAAATAAAAGAAATTCCCATCATTTTAACTACTCTTCGTTCTATCAGAAATAGAATATCTAGAGCAGTAGCTACATTTACACAACCAGTTAATCAGTTCATTTTTACAAGAAACACCATGTGACATGTGACGTGACATCGTTCACAGTGATAGCGTTTTGAATAAAACCATAAAGACAAATCTTGATTTCCCTGTTTTCATTACGCCAGTCCGTTCTAAACTGAAATTTTTAGAACATAAAACCAAAATGCTGAACTAAATTCATTAAAACAGCTGTTACATTCAAACCTTCTTATGATTAAAAGAACTTTTAACAAAGTAGTCAGGCAGATGAACATAAAAGTTATCAGATTATTGCCCATACCTTTCAAAGGTTGCCAAGAATGATAGGTTGAAGGGAATTGACCGATTGAAGAATAAAAACAAAACCAGTGAGCTACAACACAGAGGAGAGGAGACTGGAGTCTAAAAAAGAGAAGCCAAGGAGGAATCGCAGTCACAACGCAGATTCGCAAATCTTAGAAATTTGAAAGTTTTTCTAGTTCTAGGGTTTCCTAGCAAATTGGGTTGGACTTGGGCAATTAAGTTTAAAAAGATTATGGACTGGACTGGACTATATAATTGGATTTGGAAAAACTTAAAAAAAAAAATTTGATAAATTAATTAGGTTGAATAAGTAAAAATTAATTGTTAATATATTTAAAAATATATATAAATAATTTTATTTTAGATAAAACCTCTACATTTCCCCACGAGACGAAAGAAATTCCCTACGAAATTTTGCTGGAAAAAAATGCCTCCATCCCTACCCCATGGGAGGAATATTCTCGAAATCTCCATCCCCATGGCGGGGCGGGGATATCTGAGAAACTTCGCGGGTCGTGGAGGAAATTGCCATCCCTAGATCTATTCTTTCTACAATTTTACTGCTGATGGACAACCACCACCACCGCCACTGTCTTCTACGCCCACAAATGGTACCACAAGATTACGACCGGGTAAGGCAGAGTCAACTGTAGTTCTGAAACAATTCAGCACTTAATTAATTAGACTTCTTTGATGAAAGCACCATCTTGATTTTGTAGGAGAAGAGGGGAATTCATCTCGGAATATCATCATGATAGTGGTTTCGACCATTGTTTCTTTGATTTTTATCATCCTCCTCTGCATCTGCATCCTCTCCGAGGTGAGGAAGTAAAAGAAGATTGTTGAAAGTAAGTCTAAGCTGATGTTCTTTACTATATTCCTGGGAGCATTTTTACTCCTTATACTTTAAAAAAAGGAGCAGTTTCGTCCCCATATAAATAAATGTCACTATCGTCTCTGTTTTTTTTTTTTGGTAAGACACTGTCAAGAGAAATTACCTCAAAAAAGAGAAAAAATAAACATTTTCCCCCTCTACTTTCAAACAAGAGAAATTCATCCCTCTATTTCAAAAAAGAGGCATTTTTTGTGCCTCCTCTAACCCAATTACCTCATTAATTCTATGGACAAAAATATCTTTTTTTTTTTTTTTTGAGAAAAAATGGACAAAAATATCTTATTTTTTAAATTAGAAACACGAAGGTGAATTCTTTTGTTTATAAATGGATGGAAGTGCCCTTTTTTTAGAAGTAAAGAGACAAAAAGTTGCTGACCCTAATTTCTCCCTCCCTTTTAGCCAAACAACAATTTTCCAGATCTAACCACCAGCAACCACAAGGACCTCCTAGGGTCCTGTTTTACCCATCTCCATTACCCAGCACAATGAAGGTAAGAAGAAAGAGAAAGAGTCAAGAAAGAGAAGATCAAGCTAAAAGTGAAGGCAGAGGAGGAAGTTTAGAAGAAGATGAAACGGTGATATGATCAAGTAGGCTTTCCTTGCTGCTTTTATTTTCATTCTCTGAGATTCTAAACGGAATGATGTTCTTTGGCTTCGCATTCCCCTGTTGTGGCTCAATGGTAGCCACTGTTGCCCAAAAAGGCAGCCGGTGAAATGCACTCTTGATCTCAGGTTCAATACCTCTCAGAACAAATACTAACCTACTAATCTAACCATTCCCTCTGTCAAAAAAAAAAAGAAATAAATATCTTTGGCTTCCATGAAACCAAAAGAATTATTTTTTAAGAAGAAAAACATTGCCCAAGGGCTTTGCCGCCTTAAGCTAAGGTGGGCAGTGGATTACCGCCCAGCACCTAAGTGGTTCATAGGGCCTAGGTGCCACCTTTAACAACGCTGCTT